AGGGGAGGCAGGGAGGAGTGGGCGGGGGTAGGGATGGGGCCGGAAGAGGCACGGACTTCCGGGAATGAGGAGAGGCCCCTGCGGTCCGCCAAGAGGGGCTCCGCGTCCGGCAGGGGAGGGGGATGAGAGCGGAGGGCGGCAGGAGATGGCCTGGGGAGGGAGGGAGGATGTGCGAGTGAGCATGGGTAGAGCATAGGATCTTGAAAAGGGGGTGCAGAGGATGTGGTGCATCATGGCATATAACACACATTTTTCCCCAGTGAAAAAAGAAACTAGAAGCTGTACTAATAAACCAGGGGCCTTGGACTGCATTGTTCAGTTTAAGATTGAATAAAGGTGAGAGGGAGGAAAACCTCTATTGGAAGATGCCATCATTTGCTAGCTCCCACATTGGGTGCACAAATGCAACAGGCGAGGCAGAAATAATCCAAAGAAGTCACCTCGTTCGCGCCGCCGGCATTCGAATGAAGTGGACACCTCTCTTGCAGGGTCAGAAAATGCAACCTGGCCTTCCTGATCATCTGGATGCTGCCTCCAGCACTTTGCTGAAAATTAACGTTCACTTGAATTAGTATTTCCAAACCAGAGTCGATGTTTTGGCTAGAGATAAAAACAGGCTGCAGGAGCAGATCCCAGACAGCAGAGCAGCAGCAGAAAGGCTAGCTGGCTTAGTGGCAACATGGTAGAAATAGAAACGGAGGGACCTCAGGAGTCATCTCATCCAGCCCCCTGCTCAAAGCAGGACCAGCCCCAACCAGATCGTCCCAGTCAAGGCTTTGTCTAGCCAGGGCTTAGAAACCTCCAAGGATGGAGAGTCCACAGTCTCTCTGCGTTGCCTGTTCCAGTGCTTCGCCACCCTCCCAGTGAGAAAGTTTCTCCTAATATCTAACCTCAATTTCCCTTGCTGCAACTTGAGACCATTGCAGCACTGGAAGTATGCCCAGTGATATGATATGGCAAGCACCACCGTGTGCTTGCTGCCCATGCAGTGCTGAGGACACTGAGTAGCATTCCTAGGTGCAGCTGTGACATGGATCATAAATCACAGTAATACTGTTGTTCTGAGTGGCCTCCAGCTGCAAAACATCCTCCCCCTGTACCACCCCCATGCAGCACCCAGCCTTAGCAACACTGAGGGATAATAATTACCTGAAGTAATAATTAAGATCTTAAACACCAAACCGTAAGCATGCCTTACGGCCTGTTTCTGCAAGGACCTCTGCTTGGGCAAGTGCAGGGGTTCAACTGGGAACTCACTGCATAATCAACCCTGTCTCAAACGTCTGGGTGACACTCAGTTCTAGTTTCACACCTCTCCTTTTCCTGCCCTTGTCTCTTGGTATCTCTCATTTCTGAGGCCCTTCAGAGGACTACCCCCCCACAACTATGCAGACATTTGCTGTCTGTGGCAGGGTGGCAAGCATGGAGCAGAAAACAGCCCTTCGTGGTTGGATTGGCAGGATCAGGGCTGACTTGTATGGTTGCATTTAGCTGACCAATCATTGGAGCAGTGGCCAAATCTTAATTTTCTGTGGAAATTGCTGCCTCCTCCATAAATAATTAAATATTCCTTATAGCAATGATGCCTCTTAAATTCATCGCTCTCTCTCCTCACCCTCAAAAAGGCTTTGGCATGAGCCTTTAGCACAGGGGTGGGCAAAACGTGACCCACGGGCCAGATGTGGCCCACCAGGCCATTCTATCTGGCCTGTGGGGGCCCTAAAAAATTTAGAAAAGTAAGTTATCTGCCCCTGGCTGCCTGTCACGCGGCCCTCGATGGCTTGCCAAAACTCAGTAAGCAGCTCTCCACTGGAAATAATTGCCCACCCCTGCTTTAGCAACTGAGAAATCATCTCAAATGCTCTTAAAGCTGGAGGGAAGCTCGGTGGTCACTCTAGCACCATGGTGAGGTAACAACATTTCAGGCGATTGACACATGTCTGCAGCCAAATGGTTTCACTCACTTCAAAATCCTCAACAATGTCATGTGCTGCAAGAAAGGAAAATGTCGTCTGTCATCTGTCTGGTTCTATCTGAAATATGTATTTTTTAAAGCTTTTTCTTCAATGTACAATGGCCTTGTTTCTCTTTGTCTCTTTCATTGCTGACTCAGTTAGGTACAATGCTACCAAGCCTTCCGCCTCACTTCAGACTACATGACTAACTACCTCCCTTTGGTTTTCTTGTCCTACTTGCCCCAGGTTTCATGCAGTCTGGTGGAGGCAGATCTGAAGAAAGGGATTGTGTCAGTCAAGCCTGGTTTGTAGGGACACCAGGGGCTCAGCCTTGAAAGCTGGAAGTCACTAGTCTAGCACAAGTCTATTATGTACTGCAGGCCTGTGTGTGGGCTCAATAAAGATGCCATTTCCACAGCTCTGCCTGCCGCCTCCCTTAGTATTAATGTTACTACCTATTACTCGCAGTTCACTTGTCTTCTGAGATTGTGCACATGGATGGACAGGTTCTCTTTGGTCTAGAATTACTGCATCTGATTTATTGTGGCCCAGTCTAGGAGCAGGAAGGCACTGCACAGCCCGTGTGCAAGGACTCTAGATGGTGCTGTCTTGCTGCACTTATCCCGTCTTGCCTCATGGTTGCACTGTCTTGTCCTCTGTGGTTTCCCCTTCCTTGATAGTTGCAGTGTGAGCCGGTTAAATAGGAAGGTTTTAGAAGAGAAAGCAGGAAGAGCCCTCAAGAGAGCAGAGGTAGGTAGAAACCACTCCTGGTAGCAATGCGTAGGGCCATCTGGATTGTGGGTGCAGACATGCACAATTCACAGATGCCTTTGAACAAGAGCTGGCTTCTACTGGGAAGCTGGTGCAGCCGGACGCTGGCTTCCAAGAACAGCCGAGCTCTTCATCATTGTCACCCCTTCATGTTGCGGCAACCCCAGTCAGGGTCAGGACCCTGTTGTATCTGGCACTGTGCACCCATGCACACCTGCCACAGTGAGAACATGGGCTCTGGGGCCAGTGGTTTTCCCTTGAATGTCCATCTGCTCCTGGGCTTCAGATGGATTTTAAGTCATTTGCATGTGTATTAGTTCCCTGTCTGGGATCTCTCTAGGGAGGGTGTGTTTGTGTAGAGGGGTGCGGGTGTGCAAGGGGGGTTTGCAGAACACGGCCCCACATGCTCCCTGGCACCGAGATATTAAAATCACAGAATGAGGCAGAGGCTTGGGAGAAGGAAAAAGGCCTATTTGCTCCTTGGAGCCTGCTCTGTCCCCTGTCATGCTGGCCTCTGAGCCCCAGAAATGCTGGCAGATTTACCCTCATGATCCCACAGGGAGATGGGGAGAGTTATGCCCACTTAAAAAATGAGGAGCACGGGAGTAGAAATGCAATGACTTGTCCAGCAGCCATAGACAAAGCAGAGAGTGAACTCATGTCTCCTAGCCTTGCCCTGTGGCTATCCTTCCTCCTGTCTCCTGCCAGCACAAGAGCTTGAAGGGGGCACGTGGTGGGCAGGGGGGAGCGGAAGAGACTTACCAGACACTCAGGGGCTGCTGCTCTCTCCTGGGCTGATCCCCACCCCTTCTGGTTGTGAAAAACATTTCACTTTCTCCCACCCACACAAACCACAGAGTCAGTCCAGTAGTTCCTGGAAGGCAGTTTCCTCCGGTCTAGGGTGGAAGGTGGAAACTTTGTAAACTTTATCGCCCTGCTTAACCATGGGCAGAGAGGAAATTGGGATCAGGGGCACTGGGACAATGCCTGTTTCAGGTGAAAGTCCCCATGGGACCTTAAACATTCACACAGAGCCAACAGGGCTTTAAGATCTTGGTGAAATGACCTGTGGGGTGTGGATGGGGAATCCTGGCCCTGATGGGATTCATATCAGTGGTTCCAGGCAGAGAAGGGACATTAAGCATAGTGCTAAGTCACTGTCCAGCCTAAAGTCTTGACATGCCCCTGGCATCTGTGCTGGGCAATGGCTTCACATCACAGCCAACATCCTGCCTCCTGCTGGCCAGAGGAATAAGAAAGCAAGGGTGCAGCCCTCTCCCTTGGCAGTGGAGGATATGCAGTGCTGGAGAAGCCTGGCTGGGCTCCAGGCCATGCGGTCCATTCTCCTGGCGCACAGGTTGCAGCAGATGCATTTCTCAGCCTCAGCCTCTTCCTCCTCCTTGCCTAGATTAGAGCATCAAGATGGGGAAGAGCTGCAAGGTCGTGGTGTGTGGCCAGGCTTCTGTTGGAAAAACGTCCATCCTGGAGCAGCTCCTTTATGGGAACCATGTGGTTGGTAAGTCTGGGAGCGGGGCGGGTGGCCTGTAGTGGGCCTCAGGGGCAGGGGGGTGATCCTTCGGGCCTCCTCATTCATTACAGGCTTTGTTCTCTATGGGCTGTGAAAGATGCAGCAGCAGCTTGACCATACCAACCATTAGTACACAGCCTGGATATTTGTGAGAGACCCTACAATAATAAATCAGCACCTGCCTCTCACTAGTCAGGAGGCAGATCTTACTGGAACTGCCCGGCTCTTGAGAATAAAATCTACCGTTTAAAAAAAAAACTAGCATGCAGATGTGTGGAGGCTGGCAGAGCAATGAGCAGGGGAAGTGGGCAGGCAGGTTTCACTCACTGTCAGGGTCCCAGATGAGGTGAGGGTATGGAGAAGCCCCTGGAGATTTGCCTTCAGAGTCTCTCTTCTCTTTGCTTCAGCAGCATCACAAGAACTGCAGCTGTGGGAGCCCCTTTATGAGCAGAGAGCTGGGTACAAGACAGGCAAAGGGCAGGGATCTGTTAGGCGTGTGGTGGTAGCTAAGGGCCACCTCTTGGGTGCAAACCTGATGCTGAAGTCATGGCCCCTGCTAACAAAGGGCTTTGCAGCCAGGTTCCCTGCGTCACCCTGTGCCTTCCTGCAGGTTCAGAGATGACAGAGACCCAGGAGGACATCTACGTGGGCTCCATCGAGACAGACCGTGGGGTGCGTGAGCAGGTGCGCTTCTATGACACCAGGGGCCTGCGGGATGGCTTGGAGCTGCCCAAGCACTGCTTCTCCTGCACTGACGGCTATGTGCTGGTGTACAGCACTGACAACAAGGAGTCCTTCAAGAGGGTGGAGCTGCTTAAGAAGGAGATCGACAAATCCAAAGATAAGAAGGAGGTGGGCGTCTCTGCTTCGTGCAGGCTGATCTGGGTGGAGGCTGTCCCATGGGATTTGGGAACTTTGGGGGTTGAGAACAGGAGGCAGAGCCTGTTCCCCTACCCTGCTCATCCCCACCCAGCTAGGAAGTATTTTTTTCCTTGTGGTGATTCAGTGTCCTGTGGGAGGCAACCCCACCCCTTTCTCCAACCTTCCTCCAGGACCAAGTGCTCTCCTTAGATCTTCTCAGCAGAGGGGCCATGGGGGAGTCAGGCAACTGAGCGAGCTGGGGCTGTGTCAGAGTGGGGTGGAGCTATCTGTATGCTTGTCAAAGGGGAGCTATTATTCACATGAAAGTGTCAACCTCCAGGGCTGTCACACCCAAGGTATCTCTGCCTTTCTTCCTGCACCTCCATACTGGATTTTCCAATAGGTTAGAAGAATGCTGAGTTTGAAAGTGCTCGGCCAGGTTCTGGTATTGTGATCTGTACTGTTGTGGCTATGCAGACTGGAGTAACGAAGATTGGGCCTCCCACTCAAGGGCTTTGCGCTGGCTCCAGGGTGGATTGTTCCTGGTGATGTGGAACTGTATACTAATGGCTCGTCTCACGGCAGCGCAGGGGAATCTTGTTTCCCTGCAGTCCATCAGCCTTAGCTGGGGCTGCTGCCAGTTGTGGGATGGCATATAGGGTGGCTCAGGGGTGGGATCTGGCTTGGCAAATCCCAACTTTCTCTGCTTTCTCCTTGGAAAGAGCTTTGTGGAATTGGCACGTCCCTGGGGTTGGCACGGTGGGCAGTGCGCAGTGTATGTTGGAGGGGAGGGGGAGAGCTGTACCACCCAGCCTTGACTGCTCTACCTGGGGGTGACTCATTTACAGGTCACGATCGTGGTTCTGGGCAACAAGTGTGACCTACAAGAGCAGCGGCGCGTGGACCACGACATGGCCCAGCACTGGGCCAAGGGTGAGAAGGTGAAGCTGTGGGAGGTCTCCGTGGCAGACCGCCGGACACTGATTGAGCCATTCATCTACCTGGCCAGCAAGATGACGCAACCACAGAGCAAGTCCGCCTTTCCGCTGAGCCGCAAGAACAAGGGTAGCGGCTCCATGGACAGCTGAGGGCCTGGCCTGCCCCCAGCCTCTTCACCTCATCCCCACCTTGCACCCACCTTTTCTTTTGCTTACTCGGTGCCTGGGTAGTCAGCAGGTGCTGAGCTCCCAGTGGGAAGTGGGACCATGCTCTGCACCTGACTGCACTGGCTGGCATGGAGTGGTCCAGGGCCGGTCCCTGGGGAGGGGTGGGTAATGCCTGGCCCATATGCTGCGAGCTGGGGGGAGAGAGCAGCTCTGTTCACTGTTCAGGTCCTGTAGGTGTTTGAGCTGCTTCCTGGTTGAGCCTGGCTTTGCACGGACCCTCCCTGCAGGACCTACTTGTTCAGGCTTTGTCTCCCAAAGGCTGGGCAGACCTGGGGGACTCTGCCTGAGCATGGGTGGGGCATGTGGGTCCTGCCAAAAGCTGCACCTTATAATGGGCTGTTACCTCTGAGTCAGTATCCATGCAGTACAGAGCTGGCTGGCAGCAGGGTCCAGGCTCCCTTCTGTCTTCTGATTCTTTCCTTGAGGCAGTCACTGGAGAGGTTGCTCAGCTACCAGGGAAGCTTAGATCCTGATCTAGACCCCACAGCACAACAAAGGCTGAGCTGGATGCAGGGTTTGCAGGAGGTATTCACCCTCCAGGCCTCCCTGCTCACCCACAGGCAGCAGCAACTGCCCTGTCTCTGCAGCACGGTGCCTTGGGAGCATGGAGCTCTGTCAGCAGAGGGCACTGAAGCCTTCTGTCCTTGCAAGGGCATTGCTGCTGCACTGAACAACCTGGGGAGCTTGAGCTGTCCTGGGGTCCCTGCTAAGTTTGGACTGTCAGCCTAGACCCCCACCCCTTTGCACCTTCTTCAGAACAGCCTCAGAATGGGCTGAAGGGAGCACAGATTTCACTTCATTAGGCCTGTCAGTGCCTGGCCACAGCAGAGAGGCTGCAAAACAGCCTCGACCTCCTGTCTCTCCCCCTGCTGTGATATCATTTGGATGGCCAATCCCTCAGCAGAGAT